TTATATATATATATATATATATATATATATATATATATAACTCTTATTGGAAACTTGCGTTATATAGTACTCATATATACGAGTCTCAGATACTTCATTAAATCAAACGTGATTTTGATAAAGACTTTTCACAAAACTTTTGTCACGTAACTTTAACAAGTTTAGTTAACATCAAAATACTATCTAAGAGTGGGGACAATTCATAGGGTTTTTAGCCAAAATAAAATAAAATTATTGAAATAAATTAATTAAAAAATTAATTACTAAAATGAATTGTTTTTACCATGTAGGAGAGAGAGGATCCAGAAAATGTCAATACATATGACGATTTCTTTAGACAAATTACCTCGGTTCATACTATGACATGTATAAGGGAAAACATCACTATAGTGAACATTTTCTTTACAAATTTCTTCAAATAGAAGACGTCACCATGCTAGACGTCTTGTAGCACAAGCACTAGTACGAGTGCGTCGCCGGAAAACACTTCCTTCCCAGTCGCAAGCTCATCGGAGCCCGCTACTTCTACGCCGGCTACAAAGCCACCAATGGCAAAATGAACAGCACCCTCGAGTATTGCTTCCCTAGAGACTCCGACAACCACGACACCCACATCGCCTCCATCGCCACCAGAAGGTACGTCTTCCCAACCTCCACCATGGGCTACGCCAAAGGAATGGCTGCCAGGATGGCTCCTAAGGCTCGCCTCGCTGTTTACAAGATCTGTTGGAACGTTGGCTGCTAAAACTCCGACATCCTGGCCGCATTCAACACCACCGTGGCCGACGGTGTGGACGTGATCTCCCTAGCGTGGGGGGCGTGGTGGTGCCTTACCACCTGGACGTCATCGTTGTGGGGGCTTTCGAAGCCAACGAGGCTGGCGTCTTCGTCTCCGCCTCTGCAGGAAACAATAACCTCAATGGCCTGACAGTGACGAATGTGGTACCCTGGGCGTTCGTGTAAGTCGTCAATCTAGGTGACGATTTCTTTGATGTTTTGGTCAAACCCGCGCACCATGAAGCAAGAAAACATCGTATAGAAGTTGTCAACACTATTGACGTTTTTTATGTAATATGTTGCATCGTTTCTACACTTCTCATGTGGTATAGGGAGCACTTTTCAGATGTTTAAAATTCGCCACTTTCCATGAAGTCTTATACATCCTACGTGGCAGAAATTATTTATTTTGATAATTAGTTTTTTATTAATTTATTTTAATAATTTTATTTATTTATTTATTTATTGTGATAAAAAGCCCAATTCATAAGCCTTCACTTCTAACAATACTTTACTTTTTTTATGATGACAAATATTATTAAAATTTTAATAAAAAGGATTTTAAACTTTCATCAAAAGGAGCCTTTTGGAAGGAGTTTTAAGAAAAGCTCCGCCTGAAATAATGCATATAACTTCAAAGAGTTTTATAAAAAATTTCTCCACAAAAATGCAATGTGTCTGTAGAGATCGAAATTTATGAAAAGCATTTTACACTAACAAATATAGTTTGTCCAAGATAAGATCATCAAATTGAAATATTATAGCAAGGATTTCAAAGAGTATGATATCAGAGTATGCATGAGTATGCATATCATACCATGATTTTCTTCAAAGCATACACAATTCACATCATATCATACATATCATTTATGTTTAGTTTAAGGTATGCATGAGATGTATCAAAGAGAAATTATATCGCAAATATGATGCATGTTCTATTTTAACAACATACTAGAATATGTATAACATACATATCATCAAAGCATGAAAATAAATATAATTTAATATAAAGCAATATTTAAATGTCACATTCTCTCCCGTTTTGCCATCCTGCAAAAAGGGAGGTCATCATAATTGCATGTTCTCTTTAAAGAAAAGCAAAGAATAATATAATGAGAGAAAGCGGGTATTAGAGTTGTGGTAGTGCCAATGGTTTAGAGATGTGTTGAATTGGTGTTTTCAACATGAATTCCAGCTTGTTGAGCCTTTAATCTATAAAACAGCACTAGTGAAAAAAAATACTTTTAAAATCGGTTCTCTGACCGATTTTAAAAGAACCGATTTTAAAAAGTGAGACTTTTAACATCGGTCGCCGACCGATGTTAAAAGTGAGACTTTTAAAATCGGTAAACAGTGACCGATGTTAAAAGTATCACTTTGACCGATTTTAAAAGTGGTTAATTTTTTTAAAATATTTGACTTATTTTAGGAGGATTCCTGAACAAAACTTGCAAATTAATAAAATACCAGACAATTCATATGTTTTTAATAAACCAAATTACATACAAATGACAAGAGTTGATAAATGTCAATCATATATGTAATCAAAGTAACTTACAAATTATGATGCATCTTAAATTACAAAACGAGAAAATTAGAATGTTTGTCAAAGTAAATGGTTTTGGCAGGTTTTCAGTTTAACCATCAGTATTACAATCCAAACGTAGCAGTGTTGCTTGCAAAGTTATCATGGATTCTTAGATTCATCCCTCCCACAATTTTGGAAGCAAGATAATCAAGCTTAGTTTGACAAAACCATAACACTAGTATAGTACACATCAAGACCAATGCAGATCCCATGTCCTACATGACCAACACTAGCGTTTTATAGCATCCAATAATTGCTTGTGTGTGAGAGGAGATTCGTTGATGAAAGCAACATTGATAGGTGAAAGATAACTACTTTATCACTACGTCTACTCCTAATTCTACAACTAAAAGGAGTAAAAATAACAATTTGTGATTCTTCATTGATACCATTGATAGAGGTATACAATATATTCATAGAGAAACACAAACAGATTCATAACAACTCCATTCTAGAACTTACCTATATAAAATATTATCTATATTTATCTATTAATATTAAAAGATAAATAAAGAAATATCAATACTAATAATGAGCCTAAGGATAAGAGATGGATCGTAATAATTACCAAAGCAAATCAACGTGTTCATTCACTAGGGTGAGACACAATAGAGCCAATCTAATCATTTTTTCAGAAATGGTTTCTAGCAAACAAGAAGCCGCTGATCACTGCCATTTTGAAGGTCAATTACCCTTGCTTCCCAACGTACTTGTGCAGCAAGTGTGCAAGCCATATCTATAACTCCCATGTTATTAGAAAAAATGACCCATCCCTACCAAGCCATGTAATGTTATGTCAGTATTAGGCTTCATAGATCATTGACACCGACAAGACAATAGCTTGTATTTTCAAAACCAAAAAGAACACAAGACTGTGCATCATACCAATAGGTGAGGTTGCATGACTAGATTCAAATAAATAAATAAAAATTCACCATTCTGGAGATGTCAAAAAAATATTTGAGAGACGGGAACAAAGGTGCCATTAATTGTTCTACTAATAAATGTAATGTTCGACTTATGTATAATAGAAAAATCAAGTCGTCACATTGATCATTCCAGCACTAATCATGACAATAAACATAAGGGGGCCAGTGTACCTCTGGATGCAGTATTCTGTCCATCTCCAAGAATAAGTTCATCATGTTGCACCTCTCTGAAGTGAGATGAGAAAGAAGTCCATTTGCATGAAGCATATCTAGAACGGCCCCAGAACGGGCCGTTCTGGAGCCGTTCCAGACTCAAAATTCGCCCAGCAATAACGAAATAAGAGACATGAAACGAGAATGTTACCTTGATGTTGTATTCTTCCGAGAAAATGAGAAGCTGCATACTTCAGATTAGAACCCGAGAGAGTAAAGAGAATAATATAAGAACTATTGAAACCAAAGAGTAGAGAATGGAGCTAGGGGGAGAATGGGAGCAGAGATAACATAGATTAAGTCTCTGATACTACTTTTAAAATCGGTTTTTCAATAACCGATTTTAAAAGTGATACTTTTAAAATCGGCTATTTGATAGCCGATTTTAAAAGTAGACTTTTAAAATCGGTTATTCAAGAGTCGATTTTAAAAGTAGCGTCAGAGACTTTTAAAATCGGTCATAACGTAGCCGATTTTAAAAGTAATGTCATTATTTACAAAATTACCACCGCGTCACTTTTAAAATTGGTTACCTTATGACCAATTTGAAAACCCCGATTTTAAAAGTCATTTTTATACTAGTGCAATTGACAAAACGAGCAAGGAGCAGATCAAAAGAAGCTTTACTTAGCACACTCGTGCTCTTAAAACAACATTCCCAAACTCACCAAGAGGACCAACAACAAGCCTTTCTCTTAACTTTCTCACTTTTGTCTATTTTATGTTCAAATTAATCATCACTTCTAAGGCATAAATTACACAATTTCCTATCAATGCACACGTTATACCAAGCAATCCATTCATTTCAATTAAATTCTTCAACAAAGCATTTCAATAGAACATACTTAAATAGCACAACTTGGGGCTATTCAAAACCCATCCAAGATCATACAACTAACACCTCCAGGGTTGAGGGGCAATCCGTATTATCTATAATTTTTGTCCACACCGGTACCC